GAAACGACTTTCCTGCCAATAGGAGATTGGCTGGGGCGGGGAGCTCGAGTCTGGTTTTAATAGAGTTTTAATTATCCATTTTGGAAATTTTTTGAAGGATATGTTGAAGATGCTATATTATTGTAAAAATTTGTAAATCTAAATGATTTGTTTTTAGACTATTAAATTTTAGAAAAAGATTGATTAATGTAATATTAAAACTCGAAACATTCAAAGTATTAACAGAAAAATAGTAATACCAATTTAAACATTATTTACATATAATTAATATATTATATTATTTACTCTAAAAACTTAAATATTCAAAGTATTAACCGAGAAATAGTAATACCGGTGTAATTTACTTTAAAAACTTATATTTACATATAATTAATTTATTATATAAAAACTAATATATATAATTAAATATTAATAATTTATATAAAGTTCAAAAAAATTGATTGGGATGAAATTTGAAACAGCAACCTCAAGTATGCATGTTGAGCAACATTGCCAACTAAGCTACTTAATGTATATGTCTTTAATACCTTAGTTATAGTATTTATGTATAAAAACGGGGGGGCCATGGCCCCCAAAGGCCCCTATAGGGATCCGCCCCTGAACAGAACTGACATTATCCACGTCTTGGTCTCCATCATCTTTGGTTGTTTCGTGTAACCCATCATTCTCAAACGGATCATTTGGTATTTCTCGCCTGATATAATTATGAAGTAGACAACATGCCGTTGTGATCTTGTTGTGATAGCACAAATTATCTTATAAAATTCTCCACCTTGCCTTCAAAATGCCAAAACATCTTTCTATGACATTTTTTGCAGAGAAATGTCTCATGTTAAAAAGTTCTTTTGGTGTGGTTGGTTGGTATCCATCCCGCCAACCATTTAAGTGATATATTTGAACTCTATATGGGGTGAAGAAACCCTCACCATTTGTGTATCCGACATCTACTAGGTAACAATATGACCTAAGTACCTTTAACCATGTAGCCTAAGAAGAGCGTCTCGAAGCATTGTTCCATCGGCCGCGGACCCCTCCTATCCAGGTAACACATAAATAAATTGCATATTTTGTAAACAGACCCCTAACGCATTTGTGGCAATTTCATTCTTTCTCGTTCTGTATCGATCCTTGTCTTCGAGTGGCACTAAGCACCTTATGTATGTTCCATCTAAAGCTCCTAGACAATTCTAAAACCAAGAAAATATAAATGGTTATTACACACTTTAAGTTACTTACATGTGAATACCAAAAAAGGTAAATATTCCATCTTCCATCGGTAGAATCCTCTTGAATGAGTTTGAGTTTTTTAAGCAAATATGAATGCAATCTTATCACCGCGTTGCAAACTTGAGTGAATAGTCTACTTATTGTTTATCCCGAATGATGAAAACGACATGTGATGACTTGAATTTTAACGTTATGAGCCATAATGTGAAGGAAAATGGCAACTTGTTTATCAATACCCATATGCCTACTTGCTCGTAATCCTCCAAATGTTTTCAACATATCGCATAACTTTACACATTCTGTTCATCCTAAGTCGTGATATGCACATATTGTCACTCTCATAAGCATATCCATGCAATTTGAAGCTCGATCCATATTTGACAAAGTGTATTGAACACGTGGTTTATCCCTTCCGTAGTCGGCTATTAAAGTGCAAACCGTAATGAAAAACCAAATAATAATGACCATAGCTTCGTGCAAAAACAATCTCATAAGCCTACGTCTGCATGTTCTGAAACTAAGTCGGGCCATTTCCTGCTTAAAGACATACAAATGGTTTTATTTCCAATTGCTATCAAATAAAGTAATCGAAATGTGTAAAATGCTATGTGGATGGAGAGGATCTTCCTCATCTAGCTTCTGTGGTTGTGGTGTAAGTTTCTTCCCCCAACTTGGTGGCTTGTATGCACTTGTCTAAAATTTAAAACCAAACCAGTTGAGTTCCCAAGAGGCCATGGCTAGTGAATAATAAAGTGACTGATGGAACATCAAAATCACAAGCATTTTTGCAGTTCATGAAAACAAGTTTATCATTAATACTATTAACGCAATAGTCAGACTTTTTTCTGGGGCTCATTCGTCTTTATCTTGATCCTTACGGGCCTCTTGAATCCTCTTTTCCCTATTTCTTACTTAAAATTGGATTTCATCTAGTTGGCAACTCAATTTAGTTTCTGTTTACATAAATAATTAACATGAGTTAGCATCGACATAAACACATTAACACTAACAACATATATAAATAATCAAAATAATCAATTAATATAACATCAATTAAAAAATGGCGTTCAGTTAACGTTAACAACTAAACCATGAACCATGAACCATGAACCATGAACATTCAATTAACATCAACATTCAATTAATTTTCTATACACAAAATAATCAAATTGCAGAGAGATAAGTGAGTGGACGAAAAAGCAAAGAGAGGAGAGACAAAACAGAGAGTAGGCCCTATGTGATTGTTGAAAATTGCCTCTCTTTGCGTGGTAAATTAGCATGATAAAAATGCAATTATGCTACTGGATACCAAAAAAAATGCAATTTTGAGTGTTTGGCTTGAATATTTAAGTGTCAAACAAGATGGTTATTTTTGCACTTGCATTTCATCAATCTATAAAAGATGGATCATAATTTAGCATTTTCTGGAGCACTGTTAGTTAGTTTGCAATAAAACTTCGTTGTGCTCATTTAACATTTCCATACCTATTTACACGGTGAAAATATGATTTTGGGTGCCTTTTACAAATAAAAAAGGGGGATATAATCGAATGGAGGGAAATGACATGAATGGTATCTTGGTGCTTAATCCACCATATTGTTATGTCAATCTAATCATTTATAGATTTTCTTTTTGATGTTCATCACCATCTACTAATATGTTTGAAAATTGAATTGGGTATTGATTAAAAAGCATAAATCTGTTTGATATACTTGTAGGGATTTGGTTGTTGATCTATTGTTGAATTATTCTCCTCTGTTTCCAAGGTACTTGTGCTTGTTTAAGTACTTCACAAGGTGTTATTACTTTGGTCGAGCAAGAAAAATATGAGGTGGAAACTTATTCATATAGATATGGTACCAAACTTATTCAAAAATGCCTCTCTTTGTGTGGTATCAAATGAATAATGTCAATGAAGAGAGTGTAATGTTATTGATGATGATGAAGTACGAATGCCGACTAAAAAGACATCATTTTTTTTCTAATTAACAAGCAATGTTTAGGGACGATCCTTGAAGAAAGTGGCAAAGCTGTACCCTTGCAACCAACATATCACAAATTCAAGGTTTTGGAATCAGACTATTTGCAAAATGCAAGGAAAAGACTGCACAATGACTTCCCTTCTAAACCCTTATAAAGCCAAGGAACCTTGCACCAAAGTTGCTTGTGGGCAATTTAGGAACACTGTAAACCAAACCAAATGATTCCAGTTATCACACCTGGGGTGGAGCCTGGGAACTTTAGGAACACTCTATCGTTTCTATATTCCAAATTGAAAGAATTACGGCTGTTAAATCTACCAATAAGAGAACCTGGACTATTGAACGAATTTGGATTAGGGAAGGAATTTGTCGGAAAAGAATTGAAATCCAAGGGATATCCCATGGAACTGTGAAATCTATAAGTTAAGGAATTCATTGGAAAAATGATATGATGTGATGGATTATGTGACTATCAGGTTTTTTTTATTATTATTTATTATTATTTATTATTATTAATTAAATTTAAGGAATTCCTAATAGCATAATATAATGGAATGAAAATAATGATTCTCATTCTACCCTATTCTAATTACCAATCTCATTTTCATTCCTTAAAGCAAACCAAAACCGCCTTGCTATTTTAGTGGTTTTGGTGATTTGCTTCTCTGTTTTGAACAAACTATAGAGAATCTGTGGAGATTGTCTAAACAACATAAATAAAAAAAAAAACAAATAATAATGTAAATCATTGGAAATTTAAGATTTCAACATTAATTATATTATTAAAATATTCTATAATTTTATAATCTCAATATATTTTCTAAATATAATTTATATAAAATAAGTGGAAATGAATAAAAATAAACATTTTTCTCTCATCCCATCAACTTTAAGGCCATTTAGACTGTTCGTTTTTTCAATTTTTCAGAGGTAACTATGTCTTATTTTTCTCTTATCTAATAAGAGGTAAACCAATATCTTATTTGCCTCTTATTGTTTTTCAAATCCCAACAACAATGTTTGTCAATCGATTAACCTTAATCGATCCTTACCAAATCAATTTTCACATCTCTCAATTAATGTATTTTAATAGGATGAAAATGTGTTAAACACCGTTAGTGACATATTTTCGTTTAAATGAATGTTAATTATATAATTTAGATGTAAATTTTATAATGATGATGAATAAACATGTGAAGTTGTATAAATTTATCTATAAATTCGACACTATAGTTTTAATGGATAAAATAGACAAAATTTAAATAAATTCAGACGTTTATCAGTTCACAAAAACAAACAGTCTTATTGATTCAGATTTCAGACTTCAACACTACCTCTTATAAATCAAACGTGAAATAAGACTTAAACTTCAACAGCTCTTAAAAAACAAATTGTCACCTTATAGTTTTCTCTATTTTAGATAACCATACAGAGAATATGTTGCAACAAAATAGAGAACAACGCCTCCACTTTTCTCTATCTTAGAGAATCTGTTGAAGATGCTTTTACATTTGTTGTTGTTTTCGTCACTCATACTTAACAGAAAAACCACCGACGAAGTTGGCTTCGTGATTCATGAACAAAAACAACAAGAAGTTGCAAACTCTGAGGACGAAAATCGTAATTCCAAAAGCATAAATACAAAAGTCGCAATGTTTAATAAACTACAGGGACTAAAATGGTAGTTTATTCAAAAGGAAAAGTAACAAAGAGGAATCAGAGATCCCCTTTTGTAGTGTCTTAGCCATTTCAAAGCATAAACAAAGACAAACTAGTCAAAGATAAACCTTGACTCAAATTGATTTGCGGGTCGATCGTAACATGATAGAGGGACAGTAAATCTAAAGCTATCTTCTCTTAATCGACCTTCTTGGTTCAAATAATCACTCATAATTGTCTTCTTCTTTATGGGTTTTTCGCGAGAAGAAATGTTATGAGCTACAATAAGCTTCAGACATTGGATTCTGTTTTCTCGAATTGGGTTTTCGTTTCACATGGAGAAAAGAGTATATGAAGTCTGGAAAGGGAGAAATGTAAGACTTCGAACTTCAATTTCGACGTATATTATCTGGGTCAGCTTTAGATATGCAGCTTATTACTTCTAATCTAGTCGTTTGTTTGAATAATCATGTAATGATTGCTTGGTTTGCGATTATAATCCCTCAAAATTTAGCTTTCTTATAATGGGTGTTCATTTTTCAGTTTAGGGATGATGTTTCTGTTAATTGAATTGGAGTATAGAACCTTATTTAACTGAATTATCTGTAACTGAACATATTAAGATAAAATGCAGATGGTATGTGTTTGTAGTCTGTAGAACACACATTAGGAAAGAAGATGCTTGTAGATATGCAAATCTTCTACCTGTTATCAAGGAAATTATGGTTTCTAGTTGCATAAGGAGTTGTGAGCTTAATTAGGTAGCAGTTGTTGGTGATATATGAGATATTATTGGTCTCATCTGAATTTGATGCACAAAGAAACTTCTTTTACTATATATATATATATATATATATATATATATATATTTGATTAACCTGGATATCCAACCCGCTATGCGAGCTGACTAATCTCAGGGCGACCACCTGCTTTGCAGATAGCCCAGATAGCCCGGAGTCACCGCATTTGAACCTCCATGGCCACAAGGGGATTTTTATTCATCCTTGGATTTGAACCTGGACCTCCCGGTACTTTGACCTTTGGAGCCAAGCTCAAACCAATCAGGCACCACCCTTGTGGTTCTTTTACTTTATATTTCAATTCGATGATTCTGGTACTCATTGATGCTTTATGGGAATTTAGTAATTTGGATTGAACCATCCTTCATGAATATGGTAGTGTTGTACTATTTATGCATTCTTTTATCCTTGTGGTTTACGGGTATATCGAACTATACAGGTGATTGTCTCAAAAACGGTGTATTGGCTTAATTTGTAATCTGAGTAATAATGCAAGTTATACATTTAAAATGGCAGTACTTGATTATTGTAAAGTAGCTTAAGCTTGAATCTTTACTAGGTTGACCTTAAATTATGATACTGGCCTGGACTCAACTTGAATGTTTCATGAATATCCAGGTGATTTATATTTACCTTCGTTATTCTAGACAGTAGATGTCAGATTTGCGTATATAATCTTACCCTCGCCAAACCCCACCTCCATGTGGGATATACTGGGCTCGTTTGGTTTGGTTAATTCTAGACAGTATGATGTGATCCTGAGAGAAATAATGCAAGAACTTTAATCTCACTTAAATTCACGTGTGGCTTGATCATTGTCTTTTTGGTCCTTTGGATGATTTAAAAACCCAAGCCTGCAAGTTTTGGTTCTAGGGTTATTAGTCATAATTCTTTATATGGGTTTAAGTAATCGATCGTGGGTTACAGATGTAATGAAATGTTAGATTACGGTATAAACTTCAAACAGTCGAGGATTTTTGTTCTCAGATGTATGTTACATTTGTCTCTTCTGGACATGTTTTGTATAAGTTCCTTCTATGTAATGATGACAAATATGAAGGATGAGATGGGTTTTAGACTTTCTACATGACCAGGAGTTTCTTCGGAATCGTGAATTCTAAATTTGTACTCATATTATCATTTTATTTTGTTTTTTTCAGAAGTTTTTTCTTGGAGGGAGGTTGATATTTGGTCCAGATGGCAAGTCTCTAGTGGTGTCTGCATCGCTGATCATTGTTCCGGTTATTATTTTCTGTATATTCGTAGGCAGACATCTTGTCCATGAGTTTCATGCAGGATATGCGATCGTTATGGCTCCTATCGTCTTCACAATCTATGTTAGTTCTCTTTATCCTTCATTTGCATGTTATTGTCTAACCATTATTCACACATGCCTTATGTTGGATTTCATCATTTTTTAAAGAGATCTTGTCCATAGTTAAACTTCCCCAATTTGGAGCAAATCAAATCAAACAAATCCTTAATTGCAAAGATTTAACCTATGCTAACTAATGTTAACATTTTTTATAACCTTCCTATGCTTCTCACTAAATCTTGATTTCTGTCCTAATTTTATATATAGAGGGATGATCAAACGAAAATGCTAACTATTAAGAGAATACTAAAACGGCCAAATCACGTGCAAAATCACATGTGATTTTGCATTAATGGAAAAACGGGGTGCGGGCGACTTTGGATGCATCTTCAGGTTGCAGGGCAAAGTCGCGTGAATCACAAGTGATTTTGTACGTGATGTTAGTGTAAAATCACATGTGATTCGACTATTTTCTTATTCTCTTAAATAGGTACGATTCTCGTTTAACCCGACCCTTTATATATATGTGTATATATATAAACCCTATTAATTATGGAAATACTAAGGTAACCATGTTATTAGTTAAACCTTAAATAATGCAAGCCTACCACGTAATGTTCATATGATTTCCCAAAATAAATGTTCATGGAGATAGAACTATATTATTTTCTCCTATGTGCTTCAATTCTATTAGATGCAAGTACGGAGATCCCTATTAAGAATTGGGGATTTGGAGATGATTCGTGGACCAGATAATCTCGTTGGATCGTGAAAGTTCACTTTCCAAATACAGTAATTCCTAAGCTTTGGGTATCACGAATTTTGTATTGGGATATGATACGAATTCAAATATGAGAAGAATAGAAAAAGTAGAAGATGGATAGAAACGAAGGTTTGATTGCAATTAAAAACGGAAAATTACCAAAACAGAGATGGTCACCGAACCAGGAAAACTTCCCTCTCTCAAAGCGAGGAGCTATGAGCCACACATAACTATTTAGAAAAATTAACCGAATGCCTACAAGCTAAAAGTATTCCCCCTATTTATTAGACATATTCCCAAAGCAAGGTAAACTAAAACTTATCTTTTTTTGGATAAACCTTATCCTTTCTTGGACCGTCTTGCATATACCATCAAAACTTTGGGCTTGGGTAAAACATCCAATTTAGGAGGATTCGTAACATTACTCTCTCCTTCCAATAAAGTCTTGTCCTCAAGACTTATATCCGGAAATTGGCCCTTGATTATGTATCCTCCCACGTGGCTTCTTCTCGGACTTGGCCTTGCCAACGAATTAGCCATTGATCCATTGATTTTCCGTCTTGTTCCACTGTACGTCTCGCATAAATCTCCTGCGGCAACAGAACATCCTTGCCATCGAATTCCAACTCAGGTGGTAAGAGTTGTGTCACCGTAGGTGACATCATAGCTTTTTTAAGTAAAGAGATATGAAATACGGGATGGATACGTGACGTCAGAGGTAATTCCGGTATGTAAGCAATTGGACCGATTTTTCGATAATCTTGAAAGGTCCAAAAAATCGAGCTGCTAGCTTCTGATAAATTCGTTTAGCCATTGTCATCTGACGGTACGGTTTCAGCTTAACATATACCCATTCACCAATTTGAAAAGTAACATCTCGACGCGTTTTATCTGCTTGTTCTTTCATCAACACTTGCGCACGAGCTAGTTGTGTTTTGAGTTGCCTTAAGGCTTCATTTCGATCACGTAATTCCTCCCCCACAGCTTCCACTTGTACTCCCCCCGGAATAAACTGAACCATCGTCGGCGGTTTACGGCCATAGACAATTTTGAATGGTGACCGTCCCGTAGAACCGTGAAACCTCGAGTTATACCAAAACTTTGCCCACGGAATCCATAATGCCCACGAACAAGGCTGATCAATGGCAAAGCACCGCAAATACGTCTCTAAACAACTGTTTATCACCTCTGTTTGACCATCCGATTCCGGATGATAAGCAGAGCTCCTGTTTAACGTCGTTCCTTGCAAATGAAAGAGTTCTTGCCAAAAATGACTAAGAAACAACGGATCATGATCGCTAACAATTGATTTAGGAATTCCATGATGTCTAAGTACTTCCCGGACAAAAAACTTCTGCAATGGATTTAGCGCTATAAGGATGTTTGATTAGAATAAAATGGCTGTATTTAGATAGCCGATCTACCACTACAAAAAGAGCATCATACCCTTTAGACTTGGGTAAACCCACAATAAAGTCCATAGATAAATGTTCCTAAATCACATTAGGAATATCAAGAGGCTGAAGTCACCCACTTGGAGACGTTGAAGTAGCCTTAGATCGCTGACAAACACCACAAGCCTTCACGAATTCTTGCATCGTGGCTATCATTCCGGGCCAATATAAGTTCATAGCCAAACGCCGATAGGTTCGATAGTAACCCGAATGCCCTCCCGTAAGAGAGGAATGGAATTCTGTTAAGAGAGACATAATTAGTGTGAAAGAACAAGGAATCACCAACCTACCCTTGTAGTACAACACACCATGTCTCACCGTATACCCATAATGCGAATTCGGATAATTCGTTAAATCCCGAATGATTTATTGTAATCCTGGATCATTACTTGCTTCCTCCATTAATTGAGTCCCTTGAACCCAAATCGGTCCTGACATTAATGACGACAGCTCACCATCATCCGCGTGTCGCAATAAAGCGTCGGCGACCCTGTTTTCTCGGCTCGGCTTATATAAGATATCAAATTGATATCCCAGTAACTTTGCTACCCAATTCTGCTATCCCGGGTTCGTAATACACTGTTGTAGAAAAAATCAAAGACTTTTTTGATCCATATACACACAGAATTTCATTCCCAAAAGATACGATTGCCAATGTTGGATGGCTAACACTAACGCCATAATTTCCCTTTCATAAGCGGATTTCGCTAAGTTTTGCTCACTCAACACCTTACTAAAATAAGCAAAGGGCCTTTGTTGTTGTATCAACACCGCTCCTATGCCACAACCGAAGCGTCACATTCGATTATGAAAGGAATCGAAAAATCCGGCAATGCCAAGACCGGTGCCGTGACCATAGCTTGTTTCAATTCATCGAAGGCTGATTGGGCTTCCGAACTCTATCGGAATGAATCTTTCTTTGTTAAATCAGTCAGTGGTTTGGCGATACTACCGTAATGACGAATAAATTTACGGTAGTAACCCGTAAGACCCAAAAATCCACGTAATCCTTTAATCTGTTTTGGACTGGCCATTCCAAAACAGCTGATATGTTCTTTGGATCCATTGCCACACCTTGGCCGTTGATGTGATGTCCCAAATAATCGATTGACATTTGTCCAAACGAGCATTTTTTTCGATTGACCACAAATTAATTTGAGACCAATATGTGAAGAGCCGTGCTCACATCTTGCAAGTGTTGAGGCCAAGAAGGGTTGTAAATTTAGATATCGTCAAAGAAAACCACAACAAACTTTCGTAAGTAAGGTCGAAAGATGTCATTCATAATAGCTTGGAAAGTGGCCGGTTCATTAGTGAGGCCAAAAGGCATCACTAAATACTCGTAATGGCCATCGTAAGTGCGAAACGATGTCTTCTCGATGTTGTCGGGTTTTATACAGATTTGATTATAACCAGATTTTAAGTCCAACTTTGTAAAGAAATGGGGTCCGGATAATTCATCAATAAGCTCATCGACCACCGGAATCGGAAATTTGTCGGGAATTGTGGCTTTGTTGAGAGCACGGTAAGTAACACACATTCTCCACGAATCGTCTTTTTTTGGAACTAAAATTACCGGGCTCCAGAACGCGCTTTTACTAGGACAGATCATCCCTAACGTCAAAAAGTGAAAGTAATCGTGTTTTCCTTTTCGATTATCTTCTATATACATCAGCTGAATATATATACAACTGAGAGGCTACAAATTAGGAAATGATCTCCACTCATTTAGGGGTGATCAATGACATAATAAACATCCTAAAATAGATGAGSCTAAACTCAGAAATAGCTAATTTACAGCTAGCTAATTTACAGCTAGCACACCCCCTCAGTCTGAGCAGTGTAGGGATGAATGCACAGACTGGACCGAAAACGGTTGAATAGATGACGCGGAAGCCCTTTGGTGAAGATGTCGGCGTATTAAAAATCGGCTGGAACATGTAAAACTCGGACGACACCAATTCGAACCTTTTTCTCTAACGAAGTGAATATCGAGTTCCACATGTTTTGTACGCTGATGTTGTACGGGATTGTCAGATAAGTAGACAGCCGAGATATTGTCACAATAAACAATCGTAGCCTTGCGAGCGGGAACATGAAGTTCAAGAAGTAAGTTGCGCAACCAACTCGTTTCGGCAACTACATTTGCAACTCCACGGTATTCGGCCTCGGCGCTGGATCGAGATATGGTCGGCTGACGTTTTGACGACCAAGAAACCAAATTATCTCCTAAGAAGACACAGTATCCGGAAGTGGAGCGCCGAGAATCGCGGCACCCCCCCAATCGGCATCAGAATAGGCAATAAGATTCGTTGATTTGGAGGGTGAGATATGAAGACCATGCGTAATTGTTCCTTTAAGGTAACGGAGTACTCGTTTGAGGAACTGGAAGTGTGGATCTCGTGGGGCATGCATGAATAAGCAGATTTGTTGTACTGCATAGGTAAGGTCCGGACGCGTGATGGTAAGATACTGTAAAGCACCTGCCAACTGGCGATAATGTGTCCCATCCGGTAGAAGTTGACCACTTGTGGCACTCATTTTGAGGGAAGTGTCAACAGGAGTGGAACTAGGCTTGCAATCTGCCATATGAGCTCGAGATAGGATCTTAGTAGCATAATTTTCTTGAGAAAGAAATAAGCCGCCGTCTTTGCGAGTAACATTGATCCCAAGGAAATGATGAAGGGTACCTAAATCTGACATAGCAAACTCACGAGATAAAAGAGCAATTATATCAGTGAGAAGACGGTCATTAGAGGCCGTGAGAACKATATCGTCAACATACAGCAGCAAGTAGGCCATGTC